GTTGCACTGAGGGAGCTTTCCAGGTCCCTTCGAGCTCCTCATATTCTGTGATTCAAGCATTTCACCCCAAAATCGAGTAGATGTACCCAGAGACTTGCAAAGAGCCCTTGGGGCTGCAGAAGAGACATCCGTCCCTGCAGCCGTGTCGATGCTCGGCGCCTCCCGCGCCCTCTCACTCCTCCTCTGTGCTCTTCTCCCTCCCCAGGTTGGCAAGGGCTGCTGCGCTGCTTTGAAGGCCATGGGCTCCATAGTGTACGTGACCGAGATCGATCCGATCTGTGCCCTCCAGGCCTGGTAAGCGGTCGCACCCAGCCCGGCTGCTTCTTTGGGGCTTCTTTTTGCAGGACAATGATGGCCAGAAACCGCTCGGTTCCTCCCAAAAAGGATGCTGGTGCAGGGTTGATGGCTTCTCTGCACCCCTGGAGGGATCCAAAACCCTCTCTTATGGCCAGGAAAGGGTTCTTGCACTAAAGCATCACCCAGTTTATCTATATCCCACGTACCAGCTTGCATTATTGCAACCACAGCAGCCAAGAGTTGCTTGATAAAGTTTAATGATACGGCTTGAGAGATTTTCAGTTATATGGCTTGAAAGATTTTAGTGATATGGCTTGAAAGATTTAAATGCTATGGCTTGAAGGGTTGTTGGGAGGGAACGGCGACCTTTGGAGAGCAGATTCGGGCTTTACTGTGCTGTTCACATCCCTCACTTAAGGAGTATTTCGGGTTTTGCCATCACCTTTACTGCACAAACCCCTCCTCATCTCTCCCGTCGCATGGACACGCTGGTTTTTACACCTGACCTTGTTTTCTGCGGGTGAAGGTTGGTTTGGTGCAGGGACGCTGATGCGAGGTGGGACGTGACTGTGAAAGCAAAGTCCCAAAACCACCCGGACCCTCATTAAACCCACAGCGAGCTTTCAAAGTGCTATCACCGTGAGAAAACTAATGAGCCCTGCTTAATTAGCAGAGCTGATCAACTTTCGGTGTGCTTGGCAACCTTCACATCCAGCACCCGCGTCCTTTAATTGCAACTTGGGTCGTTTGCAGCGACCCCTTCCCTGCCTCTGCACAAGGAGTTTGCAGCGAGGTGGTAAAATAGCAATAAATGGGACATCATACAGCAGAAAAAAAATGACCTTTTTTTGTCTAGTAACTACGATTTTGCAGCTTGGGAGAGTCGCAGAAATAAGTTCTCGGGTGTCAACAAATCCTAAAACAAAGATATCCTACCCTTGTTATCTGAATACACCTTGCTGGCAGCAGTCAGGAGAGAGTTGCTGAGTGCTCAGCGTTTCTAAAGACCGTGTAGGTGCCTAAATATGGATTGTGAGGTTAATGAGAGACATCTGTGGGTTTGGGGCTTTTTTTAAGATGATCTAAATCCATGTCAGAAAGGATTTTTGCAGCAGGAGGGCGTATCTGCATCTTTTGGATGTACTTTGCAAAGAGCAGCAGCCGTCTCGGTTGGAAATTGAGATTTGCAGATGCGGGAGCCTTGACAGAAAGTGTAAAAGCCCCCCAAAAATCACGTTTCACTCCTCCCCACAACAGTCCCAAATCCTCCAGGGTGACTCCAGAAACCCTCCTAATGCCTTGGGGTACGTGGCCCTTCGCCCGCTGCCTTGCTGTTTCCCAGTCTGGCACTGGAAAGTTAAAATGAGTCTCTGAGAATCACTTTACGGGGTTTTTTTTTTCCTATTTTTGGCATGTTTTTGCCATTTCTCAGACTACTTTTTCTCCCCCTTTCCACTTAGCATGGATGGATTCCGGCTGGTGAAACTCAACGAAGTCATCAGACAAGTGGACATCGTCATCACCTGCACAGGTACGCGGTCCCGGAGCCGGGAGGGTGGCTCGTGAGGGATGTGCACATGATAATCAGGTCCATTTCCCCAAGGAAAGGGCCAAAACGATGGGGAAAAATGAATAAACACAGGTGTTTATTGGGGATTTTGCTGTCTGGCAGGCAACAAGAACGTGGTGACCAGGGAACATCTGGATCGGATGAAGAACAGCTGCATCGTCTGCAACATGGGGCACTCCAACACTGAGATCGATGTGGTGAGGGCAGGGATGGCACGGGGTGTGGGGAATGGGGTTTTGGGGACCTTTTGGCAGGGTCCAAACCATGCTGAGAAGATGGTGCAGCTTGGGGCAACGCAACACACTCAACCCCACTGCATTTTCCCAGACAGCACTGAAATCTGCTTAGAGATGAGTGGAAAAACAGGGAAGGTCTTGCCCAGACGTCGGTGGAGAATTGCTTGGCCAAACCCATGGGTTTAGAGGGATTTTCTGTGCTGGAAAGAAGTGACTGCGGTTTAGGTGATGACCGTGAATCCTCTTCAGCTCCAACAATAGTTGTTGCTGGAGCTTTGATGTATTGTAATCATAAAAATAGCGGCAGGTTATGATTCATAAAGGTTTCATTGGTCTGGGAGTGCAGACGGACCCAAAGGAAGCTGTAAGCCCAGGACAATGTGGAGTCGCTTCCTCTTTTCATTCCTATTGTGTAGCTTCTGGGTTCTGATCTTGGGCTGTTTCACCCTTGTGTTTCAGGCAAGCCTGCGCACACCCGAGCTGACCTGGGAGAGGGTGAGGTCCCAGGTGGACCACGTCATCTGGCCGGATGGGAAGAGAATAGTCCTTCTGGCAGAGGTGAGTGGTGGGCAAAGAGCAGGAATTGCCACGGGGATCCTGCCCCTCTGCTCTGCTCTGCTCAGACCCCACCTGCAGGGCTGTGTCCAGCTCTGGAGTCCCCAGCACAAAAAGGACATTGAAGAGCTGGAGCGGGGCCAGAGGAGGCCACAAAGATGCTCAGGGCCTGGAGCAGCTCTGCTACAAAGACAGCTGAGAGAGTTGGGGTTGTTCAGCCTGGAGAAGAGAAGACTCCGGGGGGACCTTATAGCGACCTTCCAGGACCTGAAAGGTGCCTGTAAGAAATCTGGGAAGAGCTGTTCACTGGGACATGGAGCGATAGGATGAGGGGTAATGGTTTTAAACTGGAAAAGGGCAGATTTAGGTTGGATATGAGGAAAAAGTTCTTCCCCATGAGGTGGTAGATCAGTGGCACAGGTTGCCCAGAGAGGTGGTGCAGGCCCCATCCCTGGAGATATTGAAGGTCAGGCTTGATGGGGCTGTGAGCAACCTGATGTGGTGCCAATGTCCCTGCTGACTGCAGGGGTTGGACTGGATGAGCTGTAAAGGTCCCTTCCAACCCAACACATTCTGTGATTCTATCATTCTCCACTTTGCTTCATCTGGAAGAGCAGTGGAGCCCAAGTGCATAACCTCCTGGGCCTCAGCAGCTCAGTGGTCCCCCTGGTTGAAAGGCTTGGTGTGACCCCGGTCTGGCCCATGAGTTACTGGAGCACAGGAAAGCTCCTGTGTTTTTCTTTATCACACCCCAGCGTATCTCCCATGGGGTATTTTATTGTATTTCCACTTATAAATGGTTTTACAGGCAACCAGTATGTTGAGATTCAAGTGCACGCAATAAACGCTGTTTCAACCCAAAAGGGATGTGTTTCCCCAGTGGTTCCAGTACCTTCTGTAGGGTTGTCAACTGGTTTTGGTGCCGCCTTGAGCTAATGACCTGATTTTGCTTCCCAGGGCCGCCTGCTGACCCTGAGCTGCTCCACCGTCCCCACCTTCGTCCTGTCCATCACTGCCACCACGCAGGCGAGTAGGGCTTGGGCTGAGCCGAAAGCAGCGTCTCGCTCGGTGGCGGGCAGCAGTTACTTACCTAAGTGTCTTCTCCATCCAGGCTTTGGCTTTGATAGAGCTCTACAATGCTCCCGAAGGCCGCTACAAGCAAGACGTGTACTTGCTGCCTAAGAAAATGGGTAAGGATGCTCTTGTTGCCTTCTCTTTTTCGGGTTTTGGGATGGAACAGATGGGAGGGTTTGCTAGGCCGGGCATCGCAGCCTCCTGGGCTCTCGTGTTTGCCAAGCTCGGGGTCTTCCAGTGAGTTCTACCCGCTGGGTCTTGGCTCTTTCCTAAATTGGAGGCGTGGTTTCCTGGTTCCACCTGGGGAAAAGAGGCTGACGTGCTCTGCCAACCTCAGGAATCCATCCATGCTGATTCAGGAGGTTTTCATGCAAGGCTTCTGCCAGCAGAGCTGCTTTTGTTGGCTGCAAAGACACAAATTGCACCAGGGGAGGGTTAGATTGGATATTGGGAGTAATTTCTTTACTGCAAGAGTGGTCAAGCACTGGAAGGGGCTGCCCAGGGAGGAGGTGGAGGCCCCATCCCTGGAGCGGTTCGAGAAGCGCCTGGATGTGGCACTTGGGGCCATGGTTTAGTGGCCATGGTGGGGTTGGGTTGATGTTGGACAGGATGAGCTTGGAGGTCTCTTCCAACCTTAATGACTCTGTGATTCTGTGACTCGTAGTCCCTGACCAACAGCTTTGCCAGCAGAACCCCATCCTGAGGACCCAACTGTGCTGACCACGCTTTTACTGGTTTTGCACTTATTTTTAGTATTAATTGTACTTTTTGAGACCAGGCGCAGCTTGTCCCTACCTTGGGCGTTAGGTGTCCCCTGCCAGAAAAGTCTGGTGGCGTCTCATCAGCAGAGCATCCAATTTTGCCCAAGGGTTGTGCATAACACAGCAGCAGACCCTGGAGTCCTGCTGGAAGAGGCTTTCAGAGAAAGATTTTCCCTTCTAACTCAGAATAGAGGAGAGCCTTGGTTTTCCCCATGCAGGGTGAAAAGCAGCCCTGAAATTTAGCAGCAAAGACGTGAGGAGTGATGCCTTTCCCCGCTGGGGCTTTGTGGACCTGGTGCACAGCAGGAGAGGACTCGTGGCCTTCCCCTTCCCCTACTAACGAGGCTTGAAATGGTTTTCAGACGAGTACGTGGCAAGCCTTCACCTCCCGACCTTCGATGCCCACCTGACAGAGCTGACGGATGAGCAAGCAAAATACCTGGGGCTGAACAAGAACGGACCTTTCAAACCAAACTACTACAGGTGCTGCTCCTCAACCTCTCCCTTTCCTCTGCCATAAATGTGGGGTACGCGTGCTGGGGTGGGCAGAGCGGATGGGGTTTAACCCCACCGGTCCCCTGAGGAGATATCACGGGGGTTTTGTGGATGTGGCACTTGGGGACGTGGTTTGGTGGGCATTTTTAATATAAGCCCTTGAATTGCTTCGCCTTCTGGGTTTGTATTTGTGGCCAACCCTGCGATGCATTTTTTATTGTGAAAACTAAGCAGCTTTGCACTCAGCTTGTCGAGGGGTTGAAGCCCAGATCCTTTTCCTGCAGGAAAAGGCACCTTTTTGGCGTGCAGATCTTCACATGAGAGCAACGATGCTGCACCAAAACGCCCCAGTTTTGGGGTTTAGTGGGTTTTGCCAGATCCTGAGCTTTTCTTTCCTTTCCTGTGGTATGGATTATGGAGCTGCCCATGGCCATGCCCGCCCATTTCCTCCAGTTCCGTATGAATCATTCAATGATGGTTGGACTTGATGATCTTAAAGGTCTTTTTCAATCCAGACTATTCGATGATGGTTGGACTTGATGATCTTAAAGGTCTTTTCCAACCCAAACCATTTGACGGTGGTTGGACTCAATGATCTTAAAGGTCCCCTCCAACACAAACCTTTCCATGATGGTTGGACTTGATGATCTTAAAGGTCTTTTCCAACCCAAACCATTCAATTATGGTTGGACTTGATGATCTTAAAGGTCTTTTCCAACACAAACCATTTGATAATGATTGGACTCAATGATCTTAAAGGTCTTTTCCAACCCAAACCATTCGATAATGGTTGGGCTCAATGATCTTAAGGGTCTTTTCCAACCCAAACCTTTCCATGATGGTTGGACTCAGTGATCTTAGAGGCCCTTTCCAACCCAAACCATTCAATTATGATTGGACTCAATGACCTTAAAGGTCTTTTCCAACCAAATAATTCTGTGATTCAGACATCCCCGTGTGCTATGAGCTGGAGGTGCACTCAGACACCTTTGGCTTGGTGTTCTGCAGGAGTTGAAGCCTCCAGATATAAAAGGCAAAGAGTCAAATTCTCCTAAGTTTCCAAGCTGATGTTGCCACAAACCGGTGGGACTCAGACCCTGGATCAACCGAGGGCCGTTAAGCTCGAAGCGAGAGGCAATGTTCATGCAGTGGCCAAATACAACATGATAGGCCTGTAAC